AACTTATTATAGAAAAATTCAAACATACACAAAAGTAGACAGAATAGCATAAATTAATTCCACCCACTCTCACCTACCATCACTCAGCTTCATCTATTATCAACTCATGGCCAATTTTACCCCTACCCTTTTGTTTCCCTAGATGTCAAGTAATTTCATCTCTCTAAACATTTCAGTAAAACCTTATAATTTTTAACAGATCATTGTTAAAATTTGTGGGGGTTTGCATTTTATTTTTCATTGCCTTTCATAGTGAATACAATGTCACTGAAAGAAAGGAAATTGGTGTTTACTGAAAGCAATCAGAATAAAATTTAGATTTTTGTTTTAGTTCTTCTGGGGTTTCTGGTATCTAAAGACAGTTATAAAATTTTTTCCTCTTTCCACTGTAAGAGGAGATGGAGCTAGCAAGATATAGTCATTCAGTTTAACAAACATTAACTGAGCACTGGGTGGGGACAGGGGTAGGTGTTGGAGATACAAAAATGAGTAAAACAAAGATCCTTTCTCTAAATGACACACAAATGTCAAGATGATACAGGAAAAGCTAGGATAATGATATTCACAGTGGACTTTGGGAAATAAGAGAATAAGGCCACTCAGACCAAATCAGATATTCAAGAATAGCTTCCAGGCTGGTGCAGTGGCTCACGCCTGTAATCCTAGCACTCTGGGAGGCCGAGGTGGGTGGATTGCTCGAGGTCAGGAGTTTGAAACCAGCCTGAGCAAGACCCCGTCTCTACTAAAAATAGAAAGGTATTAATATACCAACTAAAAATATATATACAAAAAATTAGCCGGGCATGGTGGCACATGCCTGTAGGCCCAGCTACTCGGGAGGCTGAGGCAGGAGGATCACTCACTCTAACCTGGGCAACAAAGTGAGACTCTGCTCAAAAAAAAAAAAAAAAAAAAAATGGCTTCCAGAAGAGATGACATCTGAGTAAATGCGAAAGTGCTGCAAATGATTATTACTATGTCATTATAATAAGTGCAAGTTTCCTTCAAACAGATTCCCTTCATTTAGTTGATTGGGGAATTGGTGGGGAGGCTCTTCAAAGAATATTACTCTGGGAAGAAAGCAAAACACCAAGAATTAAAAAATAACCCATTATATCAAGTCCTGGAGAGAATACCCAAGAGAAAAAGGCATGGTCTCAACCCTCCAGGAGGTAGGAATCTAGACAGAAGAAATTAAACATGTATTAGAAAACCTTACTGTTTAACATTCATATCAAAATGTAGAGATTAGGGATGAGAGGAGAAGTGTGGACTGAAAAAAATGTGAGTAAGAGCTAGGACCGAGGCTTTGAATATAAATTTAACCCAGATCAAAAAAGGAAGCCAATCAAGTAAAGTACATTAAAAGGTAAGTCTTAAGTGGCCAAAGATTCTTTGCCTTTAATAGTTATTTCTTCATTCTGTTCATCTTTGAATTGATGAAAGAAGGCTGGGGAAGGTCAAGATCTTTTAACTAAACTTCAAAGAGGTGTGTGTGCATCTGCTTATGTATATGTTTGTGTGTGTTAATGTCAGAGCATGAGGATTTGATCTGAGAATTTACAATCCGATTCTAAGTATTCCATTGGAATAATGTACAATGTCAGGCTGCAAATGCAAAGATCTACTCTGGCAGAGATCTGATTCTCGGAGATAAAATAAAAAGTAAAACCTATAAAAATGAAAGTTGTAAAAGACACAAGAAAATTCAGCCAACACTGTAAGACAAAGAAAAAATATTTTTCAGTTGTCATTAGAGATCAATGGCACACCATGTATAGTTCAAGGTTTAATAGGAACAAAAACAGCATCTGCTGACATCTACAATGTAGCAAACTTTATGCTACATTATGCTCAATCCTCAAAACAGCCTATGAAGTAGATAATATAATTGTTTCCATTTTACAGAGGGAGTAACTGAGACACAGAGAGACTAATAATTACCCTTAACTCCAGTTTTTCAACCTTCACTGGAGGGAATTTAGGTCAGAGGTTTAAAAAGGGTATGTAGGTATACTGTTAATATAGGTTGAAATCCAATTTTTTATAAACTCATAAAAATTATTTATATCCTTCATTGACTTAAATGAAATGATACATGATAGTATGTTGGCACAGAACCACTAACATAAACTTCAAATCAACCCATAAGGCTGAGAAAGAGTTACAAATAGGAACATGCTCTGGAAATGGCGTGTTTATCAGCAGTCCAAAGACTAGTCTCTGAATATTTCCCACAGGATTGAAGACTGCATCCTTTTTATAACACATAGAGAACAGCACCAAACATAAATGATAATGAATGACCATATTATACACAGCAATAAAAGTAGCCAGTAGTAAAAAAGCATTTGATATAAATTTTGTCACTCCTGAACAGTAGAAAAATATTACTCCTAAAGTAGTTAGCTGCTTTTTCTTTCAAGTTCTGAAAGCACTTTATATATAGCTATACCCAGCATTTATATTATATTACATTATAATTATTTGTTCATGTAGTAGTCTTCCCTCCAGACTACAAGTCCTTGAGTATAGATAGGTTCTGAATTTATTCCTCCTGGGACTTAAAAGCCATATATGTGGCTAGTAGAATAAAGGTTTAGTGAACAAATAAATGAATGAATATTTTTTTTTAATAGATAGGGTCTCGCTCTGCCACCCAGGCTGTAGTACAATGGCATGCTCCAACTCCTGGGCTTAAGGAATCCTCCCACCTCAGCCTTCCAAGTAGCTGGGACTACAGGAACGCACCATTGTGCCTGGCTAATTAAAAAAAAATTTTTTTTTCACTATGTTGCCCAGGCTGATCTTGAACTGCTGGCCTCAAGGGATCCTTCTGCCTCAGCCCAAGTAGCTGGGATTATAGGTGTGAGCCACCATGACTGGCATGAATAAATGATTTGATAGGTGACTTTTAATAAAATCTAAGGCACTATAAAACATAAAAGGGTTTTGTTATTTGAAGAATAGATTCTAATCCCCTCTACCTGGCATTTAAGGCTTTTCTATACCAGCCCTAATCTACCTTTTCAACCTTATCTCATCTACTCCCTCCTCTTAGATAGATCCTATATATGAACTACTTTCTCTGGCTTAGCTGTTTTCTTGCCTCTATGTTTTAACTCAATAGTCTCCAAAAGTTTTAGATTATACAGCTCTCTCAGTATAAAATATTTAAGCATATTTAATACTGGGCTTATGTTTATTACTAAGCAAACATAAAAACAGAAGAAAATAGACATTTTAAACAAATGAAGTTTTACTCTTTTCTTCCTACATATAATGCATTGTTTTGCATGTACTCTAACTTTGAAAATCACTGATTTACATCAATAGAACAAGTCTCATAGAATTTTGTGAGAAATAAGTGAATCAATACATGTAAAGCACTTAGGCAGTGGACTGGCATACAGGAAACACTATAAAAACCAGCTAATTTCATTACCATCATTACCATCCATGCAATGTTTTTAATGGAACAATGTCCATATACCTATCCTCTAGCCTCATTCCCATATGCAAAACTCCTCAAATCCAAATTGAAATGCGATCTCTTCAAAGAATTATTTGAATCCATCTCTTAAGGGATTATGGTTTCTCACTGTAGAAAGTACCAAATTTACAGAGTTTAGCAAGAAACTATGCCCAAGAAGACAAAATAAAGCTGAAATAGTTGGAAAAAATTAAAGATGGGCTTATGAAAAATGATGCAATGTAAAAGGATGTGATTATTAACCCCAAGAAAACACACACAAAAAAGAGTAAATATAGTAAATTATCTGACTGTATAATAAACAGTGTACACAAAGGCCTAATAATTCAAACACTGATGATTAATTTAACAAAAAATTGTGATATAACTATATGGGAAAGATGGGACATTATAGCAGCCGCCCAATCCTCAACTTTTATTAGCAAAAGTCTAAAGGAGATTAATAGTAAACTAGAAGTTTAGACACATTATTTTAAAAGTTATAGATAAATACAGAAGAAACAGTTAAAATATTTCAAAGTGATTATTATCTCTAAGGAATGGGATTGAAAAGGTAGAACCTTTCAGTACTCTTTACTTTAAAAATTTTGTACATGTTTTACATTGATCACACATTTTGAAAGTAAAAGCAATTTTCTTCAATTTTAAATTAAAAGCCTTCCACATAAAGATGACAAGTTGAATATTCTACTCTCTCCGAAAACCTCAGTAACACAACAAAGAAAACACTTAGAAAGGCATGGAAATGTCCTAGAAAGAAGACAAAAAAAGAGAATAAGAAAAGATAAGAAATGTAATGCAAGAGTTCCAGGAATCAAATAATAAGATTCCAGAAAGAAAGAAGAGAGAAAAAATCATCAAAGAAATAATCTAATTTCCCTAGAACTGAAGACCATGAGTTTTTAGACTGAAAGGGTCAAATAGACAAAACCCACCCATACCAGGATACATCAGCATGAAATTTAAGAACTCCCAAGGTACATCAAGATGAAATTTAAGAAGAGTAAGTAAAAAAACAGGATTTTGCAAGCTTCCAGGAGATAAAAGGAGTTATGTACAATGGGATCAGGAGTAAGAATGGTGCCTGTTTTCAATAGTAATGGGAGAAAATGAAGCAATTCCTTCAAAATTCTAAAAGAAACAGAATTGTACATCTAATCAACCTATGATAGGGTGGAATAAAGTATTTTATAACATGCAAAGGCTCAAACATTCACTACCATGCCCTCTTTTTCTCAGGAATCTATTGGAAGATGTGTTAGCACAAAACAAGAGAACCAAATGAGGAAAGACATGTAATCTAGAAAATAGGAAATCTGAAGGTTCTATATCCAGATCATATTACAAGTAGTCCTGAGCTTATGTGTTTTAAGAGGATCAAATCAATATAAAGGTATTCAGTTGAGTTTTGAAATGTTAAAATATGGTATGTGTTTTTAGATTTACATAATTATACTTTTATAGCAGCTTAAGCATAAAAGAGATTTCAAAAAGTTTTAACTCTTACCTGTAACACAGCAGCAAATAAGTATACTACTATGAAGATTATAGTTAACGAAGTATGACCACTTTTCATCAAATGAATAGTGTAGAGGAAAATTAAATGTCCAGGAATCACTAAAAGCAGTAGTACTTGGGCAGACTTATTATTTACTCCTGTAATATAAAATGTAAAAGTCATTAAAACAAAATCATATTTTGGTTAGCAATAGGTCACAGTTATTAACATGTGAGGATTATTTTGTAGTTACACTTCATACTATCTGCATAAAATTCAATTGCTAAAAATAAATTTCAACTAGTTATAATTCATTTAATTTTTGAAATTCCCATGATATATGCTAAATGAAAGGTGGTTGATAAAAACTTGTTATGAAGAACATTGGTCAGACTTTACTATCTATCATAAAAACAGAGGGAAAACAAAAGAGAAAAATAAAGTTCTTAAAGTATCAGAATGCTTTAATTTTATTTATTCCTTTAGAGTTCTACCACTGGTATTACAAGTCTAGGCATTTTGATCTTCATTCAAAAGTCAATAATCACATTTATTTTTATCAGGAAAAGAAATGATAAGAATTGTGAGGTTTAACATTGTGGTCTTTTTCCTAATCACATGCCTTAGTTTTTTCATAATCACATAAGTAATGCACTGTTCCTTATAACTGAGGTTACCCTTCTCATTCTGTCTGAGATCAAATCCCTACATTTAGAAAGGCCAAAATAATTAATATAGGAAAGACAGTACACCTGTCTCCCTAAATCACCTAGCAATGCTTTTGTATGAATATAAGGTTCCTCTTTCATGACTAATAACAAGATATCCCAAAAAAGAGACATAAAAAAGAAAAATTATACAAAAATACTCGGCAACTGCAGAATTGATACAAATGACTATTCACTGAGATTAGCTCTCTGAAATAGAAAAGTGGTGTAACACAAACAAAATACATATTCAATAAATGTTGCCTGCCTATAATCTCAGCAATAGTTCCTGATATAAAACATGCAAAAATCCACAAGCACGTACCTGGACCAAAAAAAGTTCTAAATGGGTAATAACAACCTTTGGGTTCATCAGGCAATTCTCCTGGAATGCTATGCAAATGGAGGTAGGTAGAAATCCTACTAGCCTGAATGGCCACCAAATTACCACCAATACCTGAAACATAAAAGAAATCAAAGTAGTTATCCTCATATATTAAACAACTTGCATAATGTCAACCAAAAGCAAGCCTCTTTATGTAACATTCTAGGCCAATAAAACAAAATAAAGATTTCTTCCGAAATGTTAATTTATTTAATGTTGAGGTAGACAATCCAAAGGTATAAAATCATTGTTATATAAGATTCATTCATTATTTTTTCAGACCTGTCTGGTATGAAAACAGACCAGAGCAGGTAACTTTTAAAAATCATTAGTACAACCAAGATGTAAAATTAGGTACCAAAATGTTTTATGTTTATCACCTTAAGGAGAGGGTAAATAAGCTAGATTTATTCAAATCAACAAGGTGTGATACTTTTCTTCTCAGCTTACTAAAGAAACTGGTATAGGCACTGAAAAAAAAAATACTCCAGAAAGTCACCTTTTTACCTAAATTATCCTCTCATATACTTTGAGGCAGAAAAGTTGATACCAAGATGTGAAATTAATCCCAAAGTGAGACAGGACACTCAAATTGTTTCTTCTTTTGCAGAGTATAGGAGGAAGAGGTAGTAGCCATAAAGCAAGTAGAAAGAAAACAACTGAAAATTTCACTCTTAAATGCTGAGTATAGGACTGCCTAAGATTAAGGATACAGCAAGAGAATCTCAAACACCATCCTATGCCTTGCACTAAGTAAGAAGCATCAGCAACTTGCCGTTGGAGGAAAAGCAACAGCATAGATTGTTGAGTCTTCCATGCTGGAGGCAGGCAGCACTTCAGGCTTCACATGAAGCATAGGGTAGCAGGAGCATGCTGACATAATGCTGTGGATATAATATCCACAAAACATATCCATAATGGTTCGTGGATATTATAGTTAGTGTACCACTTACATCAGATAATGCTGACATTATAACTGACATCAGATAATGCTGACATTATCTGATGTAAGTGGTACACTAAAGGTAACTATAATATCCACAAAAAACAAACCCAGTTCAACTACTAACTAGATAGACTCCATCCTCCATACTAATGACCTAGCAGAAGAAGAGGACGGCCCATTCCTAGGCATAAATAATATTTACCTTAATCTCCAATGGTCTTTTATATGCAATGTCCAGCATTTGATTTTAAAATTATAATACAGTAAAAAGCAATAAAGAAGATGGATCATTGAAGGAGTTAAGAAGTCAGCAGAACCAGACACAGAGATGAGTCAGGTGTTGAAACTATCTGACAATGACTTTAAAATAACTATGATTAATACGTTAAAGGATCTAGTGGAAAGGGTACACAGGGTGTATTAAAATATGGAGATGTGAATAAGTGAAAAGTAAAAATGTAGAAAAAGATACACCATGTAAACACTAACAAAAAGAAGAGTGGCTATATCTATACCAGAAAAAAAAGAAGACATTATAGCAGGGAAGATTACCAGAGATAAAGGGGTACATTGAATAAGACTTAAGAAGGTCAATTCATGAAAAAGACATAACAACCCTAAATGTAGACACACTTAAAAATAGATCTTCAAAATATATAGAGCAAAAACTAATAAATCTAAAAGGAAAAAATAGAAAAGTTGTTTTTATACTTAGAGATTTTACCACTTTCTCTCATTAACTGACAGAATACAAATACAGTAAGTTCTCACTTAACATCTACAATAGGTTCTTGAAAACGGTGCCTTTAAGCGAAAATGATACATAGCAGATCCTAGAGAAACAACATTTCCTTCATTGCTGTTTCATCATAATATTGACAAGAAAAAAATTGTTTTTGTTATACATTGTATCACCTTAAAGTCACAGTTTCCAAGAACCTATCAACGACATTATGTGATGACTTACTGTATTTTAAAAATCAAGAATTACATAGATATATTAAGATAGAATTATATAGATATATTAATAATACTATCAGTCAAATTGATCTAGGTGATATTTATAGAACATACTACCCAATAACAGCAGAATATACTTTATACATGTATACATGGACAATTAATGAAGAATAGACCATATTACGGGCCATAAAACAAGTTCAATTAATTTGAAACGATTGGAACATGGTCTCTGCCTATAATAGAAAAGATAGATATCTGGAGATTCCTACAAATGTTTGGGAAGTAAACAATTCACTTCTAAATAACCCACAGGTCAAAGAAGAAGTCACAGGAAAATTTGAAAGTAATCTGAATTTAATGCAAATGAAAATACAACATATTGATATATGTGGGAGGTACATAAAGCATACTTAGAAATTCACAACATTAAATACTAGAAAAGAAGAAAGGTTTCATATCAATGATCTAAGATTTACATCTTAAGATCCTAGGGGAAAAAAAGAAAAAAATTAAACTAAAAGAAAGCATAACGAGGGAATAAGCATAAGAACACAAATCAATGAAATAGAAAATAAAAACACAGATAAAATAAATGAAGCCAAAAGCTGGTTCTTTGGTTAGATCAAGACAAAAAGAGATTACTATGTTCCAGATACTGAAAAATAAAAAAAAAAAGAATAAAATAAAAATTTTAAAAAAAGACAAAAAGAAGATACTAATTCCAATATCAAAAATGAAAGAGAAATCATTACTACAGACAGTACAAACATTATAAGGATAATATAGCAATATCATAAGCAACTTAAAAATACTAAACAATTAGCAATTCAAATCCAGCAAAATGTTAAATGTATAATATATCACAACCAAATTGGATTTATTATAGGAATGCAAGAATGATTTAATAGTTGGAAATAAGTTAATGCAATTCAGTACATTAACAAACGAATGGAGGAAAAAATAATATTATTATATGAATAAAAGCAGAACAACTTATAAAATTCAAAATTTATGATTATAAACTCTTAACAAACCAAGAATAGAGGACTTCTTTAACCTGTTAACCACCATACACATACACACATTTATGAAACCTGAGATAAGACAAAGGAGGCACTACAGATCAATAGAGCTAAGATAATTGGTTATTAATATGCCAAAAATCCCTGAATTTGATCCTTACTCTCATCCCATGAACAAAAATAAATTCCAAGTGAAGTGAAGACAATGTGAAAGGTAAAATTATTTAGCTTACAGATGATGATATAGAATGGATGGGAAGGATTTTTTTAATAAAATAGAAAAATTGCAAACCTTAGAGGAAAAGACTGATGAATTTCACTATAGTATAATTAAAACCTGCTCATCAAAAGGCACTGTAGAGAAAGTGAGAAGACAAGCTGTAGAGTGGGAGAAGATTTTTGTAACACATACAACTGTTAAAGGACCACCATCCAGAATATATAAAGAACTCCCACAAATACACAGAAAAAAGGACAAAATACTTGGATAGTTCAAAAAAAGTGTTAATCCAAATTGCTAGTAAACATATGAAAAGATGCTCAACCACATTGGTAATCACAGAAATGCATATACAAGCACAATAAATATCATTTCATACCCATCAGGTGGCAAAAACTGAGTTTTCATTATTTCACATCTTTACAACCTGTGTGTAAAGATGTGGAGTAAAGATAACTCTCACACAAAACTAGCAAGATTGTAAATTGTTATAATCCCTTTGGAAAACACTTTGGCATTTTGTAATAAAGTTGTTGATATGCACATCCTATAATCTATTAATAGCAATTCCACTCTTAGATAAATACTCAAAGAAAAGCCTACATATGTGTGCCAGTTGAAATAATGGGCTCTGAAAGAAGTATGAAATCAAAAGAACTGGACATTTTAAAATAAATTCATGCAAGACTCGTGTGAATCACACTGAATTCACCTGGTGAGGAAAATTTCTAAGCAAGAAGAATTAGAGAACAATGCCAACAGGATGTCTGAACCAGGTGCTGAGAGTCCAAAGCTTTGATGACCCCAGGGAGAATCAAAGGCAGCAATCCTCTAGCTAAAAGTATTATTCATTGTCAGTCCAAGTTGCCTAGAAGCAAGATAGATTTTCCTCAAAAAACAAATGAGCTGAGACTACCTTAGTTTTTCTTTGGGGGCAGGATTGTGTGTGTGTGTAGGGGGGTTGTAATAAGATTATCTACTGTTGCTAGATTATTAATTCTTTGATTGAAAATTTAGGAAATGATTTTTAGGAAGCAATAGGTAATTTACTATGGGGAAATTCAGTCCTAGTAGTCTCCACCTGTGTGGTTTATCTGGAGTATACTTAAGTACTATACTCAGAAATAGAGGTTACATGATTTTCAGTCTACATTACCTATATATTACCTATATACTGCCTGATACCTAGTGAAGTTTCAGCATTCACAGCATTCATAATGCTAATTTGTTATTGTGGACATAAGAATTTAGTATTTTTTAATCACAGAAAAAAATAGAAGTACAGAAATAGGAAAGGCATGAACTCCCCCTCTTTTTAAGCTGAGAGGTTGATCTCTTTTTTGTGCCAATGGACCAAATATAAAGCAACTTAAACATTATATTTTTAAAACTAAAATTATAATGACTTTATCTTAAACTAAATGTAGCTTCATGATTTCCTCATCACATTTCATTTAGTAATTTAAAAATTCACTAAAGCAAATGCTTAAGATAATTTAAGATGCAGTATATCATCAAAAAAATGCATCCAGGGAATTCTGGAAAATTTTCTAAAGGAAAATAAATTTCTTTAAAAATGTTTAAAAGTCACATGAACTAGACAGAATAATTAAGGTACATAAATGCAGAGCTCTGTTTTCTGTACAGTTCTGACTGTGGCTCACACCATGTGGGTTTGAGAACCACCTCAGCCACTCACTATGGACTTCACTCACATTTAACCTCTTAGAGCTTCCATTTTCTAATCTGGAAATAAGGATAATTTAATATCTACCTCATAAGGATATTGAGAGAATTAAATAAAATAACGACACATAGAGACCAGCAAGATGCCTGACTAGAGGCAGCTGGCATGCACCTCTTCTTCAGAGAGCAATCAGTGCATCCATCAAATACTCATTTCAACTACATCACTGGAGAA